GAGAGAGAGAGAGAGAGAGAGAGAGAGAGAGGGAAACTACCGAGAGAACAACGAGTTGGTTTTCCATGATATATTGTTGATTCCGGGAGCACACGCAGCAGCGGAGACGCGCCATATAGCCGCCTTTTTGTTTGCCCCGTGACGGTCGAGAGAATCACGTCGATATCGTACCGTCCACTTTTCGTAGCTTTTGCTCTTTCGTGAAATCTTCCCAAAGAAAAGGAGTATTGTGAGGGGCCCTGGGAGATGTCGGTGGTGCCCAGGAACGATGGCTTCAACCAAACCTAAATACTCACCCCGAACTCGGGAGACACGTCGGCCGCCTGATGATGCAGCATTGACGTTGCTCTGAGGTAGTACAGCCCGTCTTCAGGCTCGAAACGAGGTATCGTCGTCGTGACTTCTACAGAAGAACTTGAAACCGGGGTTGAAGATCCAGGGACCGTCCAAACAGGCCTACCTCCTTGCATGAGCTCCAACTGCGTACAAGGCAGACGACGAAGACGACGTTACATGTAACGGTGTGGTAGGTCGATGTTTCACGACATCGGTTCCGTAGAAAAGCGGTCTCACGAAATGCAAGTCCTTCTGTTGCCTGTATGCCACCTTCAGGTAGTACCAAGGCCATTTGTTCCCTTCGAACAATGGCCGGGCTCTTTCAGCATGAGGCCCGAACCACTAAAATACGCAGAACCTGCTCTCTGGTGAGATTGGGTTGCTTGAAATCGTATGGGGGCGGATTTATTGCCAAACTACCATCCACCACGACGGCCGACCGGGGGTATCGGACACACCTTCTAAAGATCGGTTTAGAACTGCTTAGAGATAGACAACCTACCACACTCACCAAGACTGGAAGAGGGCCGGACTCATCCTGGCCAGCGTTGCTGACCTCTATCCTAAGAGCAACATCCTTCGTCCACACGTGCCCGGTCTGTCCTCGGAAGATGTTCCCAAGAGAAACCTTCGGAATGTCAAGAGATACGGAAAGGGAAGACTCAAAAAATAACTCGTGGGGGTCCCTGATCGCGAATGTTGCCGTGAAAGGTTTTTGTTTTGTAAAAGTGTACCGGTGCTTTCGTGGTTGGTGGCCAGCATCCCAGCATGTTCCCGCAACAAAACGGCTGTGAAACCCATATTTCTGGGAAATGCCCCATTCCGATGCATTTGGTGGAACACGGCTGAAGGCTGCCTCAAGTTACCTAGTGGGGTGGCTTGCACGGGACCAGCTTGTGTGTTGGAATCGACTGTGTGAAGCACGCTAATACGCGGGCGCTGTGGTGCATTGGTCCCTGGCTTGAGCTATGCATTTTCATTTTCACCATTGGCTATGCAATTGTTTGCATAACTGGTGACCTCCATTGTGCGGGAACTCATGTTATCAGGTGTCTGCAGTGTTTGGTGATCACAGCTACTGAGTCGCACCTCCGGCTGAGCGTGGCCGATGGTGAAAGCACGAGTGCGAACGCCTCTTCCGATTAGGCCGAATTCTGTCTCCCCTACGCCGCCAATGATACGGTGGCCCTGCCAGCCGTCATGGTGCTCGTCAGCATCCTCCAGTTGTAGGTAGTAGCCGGCGCCTGTAGATATCTCAGGAACCTGAGCAGGAAAGGGGGCGGTCACGACGTTGAACATGATCCACAGTCAAGCCAGCGGCAATGGAGGCGGACAAAGCTCTGCATCAACAGTTGACGGTAAGATCGTGTTACGGCTCCGGCGGTTGACGATTGCCGGGGGATACTGTGTCCTCTTTTTGACCGGAGGGACAAAAACGGGTCAATTTGTTGGCACAAACATTCTCAAAATGGATCCAAAGGCCTGGTTGATGTTTCGTAACAGATTCCCTGTTCCCGAACAAGCAACGGATTTCTGATGGGGCTCGTCCTCCATACACACCGATAAATGAGGCGTGGTTCCTACCGTCGGCATGGTCAAGTATGCAGTCAGGGGGGTCCGACATGAAAAGCGATGGTGACTGTGAAGAACTGGTCGTGAGACAACACTGCATCAACAACGCCCGCATGATTTCACCGTTGTACTGCTGCAGTACTGTAGCAGTGTCGCACCTGCCAATAAAACTCGTTTCCGTTGGCCCCCTCGAACAGCAGAGTCTCGGCTTCCCACTCCCACTCGTTTTGAAGAGTAATCCTAACTCTATGATCCCACGTTGGCACATTCATTCCCCCCGCAACGTCACGCATTGGTTTGACGGGGGGCGTCAGCAATCGCAATTACGAAGTGTCTAGGAGATGTGGATCGCCTACTTCGATAGGACCGCAGAGTTCGTTCCCGTCAAGAGTACAGCACGTTGGCTGCCACGCCAGATGGGTTCATAGAGAGTTGCCAGTCGCGCCGATCGATTCGATGCTCAGCTTAGAAACTCAAGATTGACCCCCATGATAACCGTTTAGTGCCCAGGACCAACCTGCTGAGGGCGGGAAGCGCCACATTTCCACAGGCTTGTTTACATTTCACGACGTGGGCGCTTTTCGAGGCGAAGTCAGCCGGTACAACATATGTTTTAAGACCTTGGATCCCCCCTTGAATGTTAGACAACGGCTAATCCATTAGACTGCTCAGTCACCGATGACGAAGCAGTGAAATGGACTGGCCTTTACCAAGTTTTCTACATAGGGTTGAACCCCACGCCTTTCCTCACCTTGCGATGTCGGGGCTAGTCCATGTAACAAGAAACCTCGCACCAATGGGAGCGTATTCGCCAAGAACGGGAGATATCAGAGCCAGGGGTGGCGTTGTCGCAGGCGTTGGGTCGGCTATCAGGAACAGCTCCGACGCCTCCGCGCTCTGAATATATTTGTAGCCACCAACAGGGTGCCCCGCGAGAAACAAGTCGAGGATACACGGGGACCCGAGTTTCTAATGGAGCGACGGAAATACTTTTTCATTACGCGGCATAGATCTCAAGCAGGATGCACCCTTTCTCGAAGGAAACAAGCCACCCGATGGATGGTTCTTCCCGAATGCTCATTCTTCGCGAGCGAAACAGTAATGCGGATTGAAATTCTTGTCTGGATCAAACTACGACGTTCAGCAGACAAGGAAATGCCGCGATGTCGGATATGTGGACAACCTCGGCTAGTGGAATAACGCCAGAACCTATAAATAGGCGAAGGGTAAGTAGGATAATGAGTTACCACTATAGAACTTGGGAGGACAGAACCTCAGGCTCACAAAAATCGAACCTCATGAACGCAAACGACCTCCCCCAAAACACAGGTATTTGGGTTGCGCCTTCTATGTATACTCAAACCTTTTGGCACAGTTTGGGTTACCCCTTAGAGGAAATACATATACGAGACTAAGACGAAACACAAGGTTCTTGTATGGTGGCGATTTCTATAGCTGATCGCATTGCGGCCCCGAAGTTCCCCTTCTCGATGTGTTGTCTGTCGACCATGTTGTCCGGAAAAACGACATTGTCTATAACCTGGACCAGTAAGTACTTGCAATCTTCAGCACCCCCGCTAAGATATCGAGATCGCCTCTGTGTTCCTGAGGGGACGAATGGTTAAGGGCATGCGAAGCTACCTCTCACGCCCGCGTCAAACCTCAACTGACGCGAGCCGGCGCTCTTGACTGATTACTTGAACAGCACGCAAACGTGCGCGACAACTCGAAACAACTGCCTCACCTCCGTTAAGCGCTGACCATGGAGGGGGCGAATGACGAAGAAGTAGACCCCCTCCTGCACGTATCGGGGCACCACCCACTGCACCGACCCCGTGTTGGTCATCGCGCCAACGACAGCAGCTACGCGTCCCTGTGATCCGAGCGTTGTTGAAGACACGGTAAAGCACAAGATGGAGAGTACGCTACGTACGGCGGGGCGGATACCAGCAATGCACAATGTCGACAATTGTTCCTGGCGGCCAGAACCACAGTTTCTAGTCCTGGGGAAGTAATATTCTGATATTCTCCTTCAACGTCGTAAATCGGTTTCTGAGAAACAAGTCGTCTTCCCGTCCGTGACAAGAACATGACTCCCAGCTCCGTACAGGATTCAACAACGTCATCCAGGAGGCCACCAGTACAGTAACAGCTGCCGGTGGTATAAATCGTCACAGCAAAATGTGATACTCCGAATACTTTCAAGGTGTCGTTGGTAGTGAGTGGGCACTGTCGTTTCGGGAACCGAAAAAGCATACCTGCGTTAGAGAGTCTGGATCTCTATCTCGCTCTACTCTCTCTCGTATGTTCTCTCTCCTCCTTCGTCGCCCCCGCTCTTCCTACCCCTCTTGTGTCTGACCCTGTGGTTCTACACTAAAGAACGTCGAACGCGTACCCCCAATATTCACTCTCTCTACACCGCTCACTTTTGTCCTCCTATCTAAAACTCTATACCCCCTTCTTTTGCTACTCTCACCGTGTCTGCATCACAGAGCTCGATCCAGACGTCTTTCGTACCGCCTGCCGACTCCCACAACACTTCGGTTACACTTCCTCGCACAGGACCAGTTCCACCTCTAGGCGCCAAGAACGTAAACGCCGTCTTCTCCTGTAGTGGCCGGAACGCGGGGAGAGATTTGTCCGACGACACGTCGATGTACGAGTGGTGGTTTAACGGAATTACCATTCTACGAAAGGGCTGTAGTATCGGGTCCAGGAAGGCTGTGAAGGGGATAGACCGCTATCCAGGTAGCGGGGGAAGAATCGATGCATATGGAGAAGTATTTCCACGGAGTACCGTCTTCCAAACGCACCAACGAGGTTTACCAGATCTATGGTATCAGACCGAGCGACTTCAACATTCAGCAAACTGTGAGCCATTTTTATTGTTCTGAAGGGGTCAAAACTCCCCCCGGCCTCCTCACAGAACGTATGCTTTAGATGGCAAGGTGCCACGTCTTGGGTACCTTTGTCTGGTCAAAGTGGTTCACTTCGCAGCAAGGGTATGTGCTTCACGGGTATGCCATATTTGTTGATACCCGAAGGCAGGTGAGGCACGATGCGTTTTTTTCTATGCAAGACGTTTCACGGTTTGATATGTTAGCCGTTTCGATATCTGGTTCCACTCACATGATTGAAAGGTCTGATTCTACGCGACACATGTTCGGGCGGTTAGCGCAGGGAGGAGATCCCCCTTTCCAAAACAATTTCAACATTTTTTCATGTGGACATGCTCATGATCTGTGGCGGTATCGCCCCCCTAACGGCACTGACCACGATGAAGAAGACTTGGCTGCGTCCGAGGATGTGCGACTCGTCCAAACCACGAAGCTCTAGCGTAAACGCCTTCTCCGCGGTCGCCTCCATAGCTCCTCCTTCGGGTGTTAGGAAACGGGGTACCGCGAAGGTGTACCGGCAAGTTTCGCCTTGCGTAACCTTCGCAACGGCCGCAAAGATTGGAGGGAAACGGCGAGAGACTAAAGGGGTTGATGATCGCAGGATTTGGGCAGGGTGACACGAGGTTGTCTAGTGCGGCGTTGTTGCTGGTCTATCCACCCGGGGCTGGTTACGACTTGTTGACCTGGCCATACTCAGCATACCCATATCATGCGCCTGACTTACCATGCAGTCGGCGTCGACCCCCTCGGCAATGAGCGCTTCAGCTCCGGTTTCCCCTGTAGCGATCAGCCATAACTCTACGCCCTGCGCCCTGTCCCCGCCCCCTTCATCCAACCCCTCCGTCGCAGCCCAGGTCACGGAGGCTTTGGCACCAGTGGTGAGAAACTCTCCCATAAGAGGATGGATAACCTAAAAATGGGGAATCGAGGAAAATTTTCGCGTGTTGGTTGTCCATCTAGTATTTGTGTGACATTTGTGGAAATTAGGGCGCGATCGGAAGCGAGGGAGGCAACGTAACGCCCTGTCCGTATGCCAGCATGGTGCGGTAACGGTTCGTTGTTTGGTTCGTTGTTTAACATCAACACGGGTGCTTCGTTTTCCTCTCCCGTCGAACCACAAATCATTGCCCCCCGGTTGTTCGGGATTCTCGAGACAGCCGCACAAAGTAGGCTAGAATCGAAGTAGTCTGTCCGACAGCAACCGATAACTTACGAATATATCGTCGCTCGTGGAGTCTGCAACCCATTGACGTTACGTACCTGTGCTCATAGCATCCCGACCCTCCAACCCGGTCGCACCAAAGTAATATTTTCTCCGCGTCTCCCCTACTCCTTGTTCCGCGGTGCTCTTAACGTTCTGGCTCACCTTGTATGGCAGCAACGTTGGAATGTCATCCGCAACATCGATTGCTTTGTTGTCCTCGTCGTCTTGGTCTCGATCTTCCTCCTCCGCGCCATCATCGCCCTCGTTGTCATTTCTACTGTCGTCATCGTACGCAGCATCGTCGTTCGAGTGCGCACTCCTCTGCTCGCCCGTGCCATGGGAAAGCCACCTCCTTTTCCTTGTGTTATGGTTTTCTCGCTCCCCGTCTTCAGGATAAGTATCTTCGGGTACTAATGCATTCTCGGCGTGTTCTTCTCCCAGTAGCTCGGCGCATCGAGTTGGGGTGGGCGAATTTGTTGAAGATTTGCTTCGCCCTTGCTGCCGGCATTCCGCAGGTAGATGCGTAGGGGTGCTTCGCGAGGTAGAATCCCTGTGCGCCGGCACCGGCGCCGGTGCTAGTGTCGCCGTGGTTGTGAAAGTCTCCAGTGGGGTGTACGACGTGTCACCAGAACTTATTCCTCGAATGCGGTAAACGGTATTAGCCCAGGCGCCGCCGCACACTCGCGAACTGTTGTTTCGTCAATTCCAAATTGTGGTGGGGCATGCGACCAAAAATAGGTGATTGCGGCTGAACTATTTTATACGTGGTGAGCATCAAGTGTAGGAAGACCAGACGTTTGACATCGGCGATCTGGAGTTTTTCGCCACCGAGTGGGGGCACACCGTTCCTGTCCGAATGGAAAACAACGCAAGAAATCAACAGTTCAGCAGCACTATCACCAGACCGAACAACCTAACATTTCTACTACCAATAACCAAATAAACCCACCGATCGCCAGTGCAAGGTGAGACGCAGTTTCCGGCGGGATCGTTGTAGGGCGGGTTATCCCCGCAGTGACACTCTCTGCCGAACTGCAACCCGAAAAAGGGCTTTCCTATCGCCATACACTGCACTTTGCACACCTGGAGTGGGTCGAATGAGCACAATTAACGCGGGTTGAATCGAATGTGCATATCAACTTGACTCGAACACAATCGGCCATCGTGTTACTTGCTTTACACCTGGGGTCGCAAAATGGGCCTTGTCTAGGTCGCTTGCGTACATTTGGGGTCAAACTGGAACGGAAAACGTGAACCCCATCTTCGTCGTGGTGTCCTCGTTGCCGCCGCGGCTGCTGACTCTCGATCAGGCTGTCTTCCTCTTGTTCTTCCTCGGCTTCGGTGTCGACTGTGTCATGGGGACGACCGGCTCGATCGAATTCTCGGAGCGGACCGGGGTGGTCTCGGAAACAACCCAGGTACTCCAGTTCATCCCCTTGCCCGTGCTGTTTCCGCTCAAGTTCATGCTTCGCCTCTGCAATGCTGTCACTTTCTCCTCTCTCTTCCCATCCCTTCTTCCACTCAGCAGTTTCGTCGTTGTAGTACACGAGAACGCTTCGCCTGCTTTTCCCGTCCCAGGTCCGCTTGATCCGATTGCCTGCATTGATACCGAGCCCTTGACGGCCTACACCGCCGTTGCCGTGGCCAAGTTCATACCACGCTGGGCGGGCGCTTTTAGCGGGGAGGATTCCAGTACCGCTTGCGCCGTTCTCTAGCTCCCAATCATGGCCTCCTCTGATGTCGTTGTATAAGATGCTGGGTTGGGGGCAAGGCGACGAAGGGGGGCGGGGGGATCATGCCGGTCATGCCGAGGGCAACGGTGTGGACGAAACCTCGCAACATTATACGAAGCAACCCCCCGGCGGGTGGTTTCCTTCCTAGATAAATAATTGTTCCGCCTGCTGGTTCAGACCAGATGTTATCGCCGAGATGCTTTAATAGTCAGCCATCGCCGGTACCTGTAGATGCTGTTTGTCCCAAATGATCCGCATCGCTGGGTCCTGTCCCCGCTGCAGGCAATGTCACACTGGTCCTCCGATAGGCGGCGATAGCCCGAGCCGCCGAAATCATCTCCGCAAGAGCAGCGTCTGGGCGAGGAGAAACGCGAAGTGACAAGATGAACAAGGGGACTGTAGTATGCACGTGGAAAACCACTTTGCTAGATATCAGCACCCGAATTTCGACAGGTTGGGCACGAGGAATTGTATTATTGTCGAAGTTACCGTTGTTATGGGATGTTTTGGATGAGTTGGTTTTCCCTTGGTTTCACAAGAACACACTAGCACACGGGCAACAAGGTGCACAAGAGTGACAGGCGGCATGGCCAATCCGTCAGGAGCGCATTTAGACTTCTCTGAATCCGTAGAGAGGAGCGCAGCACCAGATCATTCAGCACACGAAGACACCGCTCCTGACGTCGTAGTTTCTCTCCAGCTAGGCAGATATGTGAGGTGGGGTTAATATCGGTCATTCAAACTATTTGCGTGATGCGTATCGAGAGCTCGGTTTCGTCTGATGATAAGCGCAAAACAATCCCACGGCAGCACACGCGACCAAGCCGTACGGCTGTGATCTGCATGTGGATACTCTGTCGCTGCCCCCAACCTTGAGTACAACCTACGCTGTACAGGGAACATGTACTTTCCCGATGTACCGGGCTACAAGCCTACATTTAACGTTACAGGAATGAGCCTACCTTCCATTCTGGAGCCCCATGACCAGGCTACCGCGGGCAGCGCACCATTCCCCGCATTTATGTGCTGACAGCTCCTGCAGAAGCAGTAGTCGGTAACCAATCGCGAGTCAGGCTCAGCCCGAGCGTGGCAATGCTTCGCGGTAGGGCAGCCACGCTCAGCTCCTTACCCACAATGCTTCAGTAGTTACTTCGGATGTGGTGGGCTGGACTGTCACAACCAGCAGACTTCTATAGACTGTCTCCACGTTGGACAACAGAAATGCCGCGAGTGACGAGATCCTCTCTGCCTCAGAATCGATATTGGACGATGGTTCAGCTTCAGGTACACATGCCAACGCAGCTCAACTTCGATTTCTTTTTGTACCTTGAAACACCACGGTAGTCAGCAACAGGCCACAACCGGTGGAACATCGATGCATAGATCAGACTTTTAAATGGGCCAAGATGTTTGGATGGGCTGGCGCTCAAGATCTTTCGTCCACGTCATGCCCCTTACGCTACCTCGTGGAAGAGACGTGTGCCCCCGCGCAGATCTTTGGAGATAAACCCATCTTGGAAGCACCCTCGGTACACGAGCGAAAACACGCGGTCGTCAACGTCTTCAGCGCTGTCTCCACCGACACCTTCTTGGTCATCCGAGTCGGAGTCCTCTGATGAATCTTGATTCTCGTCACTTTCGTCCCCGCCCTCCTCGTCGATGCTGTCCCAAGAGTATCCGACATCCTTGCCATCAGCATCTCTGGCTCCGTTGGTGTACCCGTTGTTGAGGCCGCGCTCCGAATATCCTTCTTTGCCTTCGTTGTTGTTGGCTGTGCGCATGGCAGCCCTTGGCAGGGGCGTGACCGCGACGCATTTCGAGTCGGCGTTGCACTCCCTGTTCGAGGGGAGAAGTGAAACATCGGATGGATAAAACCTGTGCTCAACCTAGGATTCCCGCCAGGGGCGGAAAGCAAGGGTGGTTTGTGGAGGGATCTCGACCCTCAATAGCGAGTATCGCGTCGTCAGCCTAAGCAATAGCAATAGGGATTGATTCAACAGACAGACCCTAACCTTCTCGGAAACAGCTCTGCTGCGCTACCTGCAACGAAAGGGAGCAATGCCGCCACGACAAGAGCCCCAATGGTCGACGATGTCTTAATTGATGCTTTTATGTTCGGGGGTGACTGATGCATGTAGGCGCAATTTTTCAGCCAGCGAGGTTATCAGCCCATCGGTGAAAGAAAGGTTGGGCAACGTTCCCACAGAATACCGTCGTGGATTTTGCGGCGGTCGAGAACGTTTCGAGTCTCACTTGTAGCTCTCGTGGTCGCAGACGGTTCCCTCCGGCAACCGATGCGCGCTCTTCTCTATACACTCCTGAGCATCATTCGAGTCGTCGCTAGTTTGCCCCTCTGGAGAGTTCGGAAGACCTCCCGCTGGGCTGGTCTCGTTGCCCAATGAGTGGGAGGCATTCCTTTCAGGGGAAGCAGTCGAGGGAAGTTGCCGTTCGCCGACCGGGCGATAGTGCTCCACACAGGCGTTGAACTCGAATGAGTCAGGGCTAACGCAGGTCTCATAGCTGGTGAGTGTGGGCGAAGGGACGCAGGTCAAGGGAAGGCAGCACCAGGATTATCTATCATAATGTTGTGATTATTCCTGCATCGAATTCGAAGGCACCTCGGCATGCGTCCAAAGTGTCCAGTGTCGCATCCGTCGCCTACAACAGGTGAAGCGCATTTCAGTTGCGTTCTGTAGGACTACACACAATGTGCAAGGGTGACTAGAGTATTGTCCGGCGACGAGAATGAACAGATCTCGAATGCTTTGGCCATCTTAAGAAACACAAGTGAAAACAACCCATACCTCCCGTAGGGCTCTATCGGTACGTGGGCTCGCCGGCAGTCACCATTGACGCACATCCCTTTCGACCCGCCGGGTACCTATGGCGACGGACGGCAGAGAGTGAATGGCGGTTTCATACACGGCCAGTCCTTCGCCCCGCAAGTGCGAAGATCACCAGCGCGGTAGGGCCGGCCTATCGACCTGGTTTCCTCAACAAACGTTTTGATACTGCCCCACGGAATAAAGACAGCTAGAGTCAACATTTCTTCCATGCCCGGTGTAACTGGCAGGAGGAAGTAAGCACAGAGAAACCCTGGCTGTGAACTGGGAGGAAAGATTAAGAGAGGTGCATACCGTAGGTGACACGAGATATCACACCCCCTGGAGCGATTTTCGAAGCTCGATTTATCTACGGCAGAAAGAGGAGCGGCGGCGAAAATGGCGGCGCTGGAACCGTCTTGTCGACACCTTTCCAAGAATATATCGTTTGATTTATGCAGTATCTTCGTCGTAGAATAGGCGAGCCTTGGAGATCAGTCCACGTGGTGTGATATCTGATGCAACCTACGTTATTGCCCTCGGGTTCCTTCGCTTGTGACCTACCCTGCACAGTGTAGCGGACGACAGAAACTGGCAGTCGACCGTGCAACACTGTCCCGTCCAGTCTCCGTGTGCGACGACGGCGGGGTTGGCGCTGCTGTTGTTAGTGGGCCGGGATTTCCACCACGAGGACCCCGGCGAACACCTGGCATTGGGCACCAGCTTGCACTGGTTGGGGCGGCAGCAAGGGCTATCGTCGTCGCAGTCCTCCCCGGGCTCCAAAATCCCGTTGCCACAGGTCGGCTCGTAGGGCTGGAAGAACATACAACGAAATGTGTCGCAGAAAGGCATACCGAAAAACGACGAATCGTTGCATGAGCGGAGGGAGGTTTCGTAGTTTCGAATCGGGGGTGGAACCGAGGCAGAGAAGTAACAAATGTGTCTGTCTTTACTTCTGGTTGATGCCGGCACCTTGCAAGAGCCTGGACGCACACCGGGGTTGTCAAAAAAGTGTCTACAAAGTTCTATTGTTGTTTCGGATTAATGAGGCCTTAAGCTGGGACTAGCGAGAGGCACTAGAACTTACAGTAACATCACCTATGCGACGACTATCCCTGTTGCTCGCCAAAATGGGTGGCTTCATCTCATTCGAAGGAACGCCGTTGGTGGAGTTTAGAGTAAATGCGTTAGCTGAAACAACCCATGATGGAGTCGACAGAAGTCGGTACGCGTCCACAACGGAGAAACCTAAAGCACCTGGAAGCATTCCTGTTGGGAAATAATGTGTCGGCAAACTTCTTTTCTAGACTCGCTCCTGCCCATCTCAGAACTGCTTTCCCGACCCGCCGTCGGCCACGGGGAGTTTCTGCCAGGATGGGAGCCGATACGACGTACAACACATAGCACAGCGTAGGTCGGATGCCAATGTCAGCTACAAACCGGTTACCAAAATATGTCGGATTGCCAGCCCTGCTGATAACCCAAACGTTCTCCGAAAGTTGTGTCGGTGGCATCCTTGACAGTATGAAAAATAGAGCAGCATGTCGCCCCCGCTAATTACTAGTTGCACGCTTACGGGGCACCAAACGTCCTGGGTTCTTGAAGTGGTCAAATTGGAAGGTAGGTTCCCCCCAACGTTCGAAATTCCGGTCAAGGCGGATAAACTAGTGCGAAGGATGGTCATGGTGGGTGAATCTACACTCACTTGGCTATGTCCAGGAAGCCACTACTTCCAAGGGAGTGCCCGAGCTCTTGCGCGAGAACCTCCCACGTTCCCAACGTCCGTCGAGACACCCAGCCGACCCCCATGCTATCAGAACAGGCTGCCTGCAACGCGCGAATAAGAGCAGAACACGAATATATTTTTGTTCTAGATAAACGAAAAGCGCGTGCTTGTGCTTGTGCTCTTCTAAGAGGGTAGCGATGTTTGTGAGTAGTGAGTGCCGTTGTTGTTGTGCGGGGTGTATAGTGGGTCGTTTCGTTAACGGATCTGGGCCGGACATATCTTGCGCGAAGTAGGCACTGTCTATAGGCCGTTACAATACCACGCCGGCAATGGGAGGTCATGACTTGCATGTAGTGCACACCCCAGCCTTCGCTCTGGACACAACCAGTATGCGACGCAAACTCAAGGCATTTTTTCCCTGCTTTTACATGGCCAATCTGCAGCCCGAGTTCGCGTCTGCCTGAAACTTTGCTATCCAGAAATGCTCCTGATATTCCGTGTTGTTTCCAACTTGTACGAAGCATAAATCCTTACCGCTGTGTAGCTCAAACCCTCAACCCCCTCGTCGTAACACGCCGTCAGCAGCTGCCAAACGCCCAGGCGGTCCTCGGGTGGCAGCGACTCTCTCCAGGCTGCGAAACCCTTGAGTGTGGAAAAGTGATCACTCGACGGTTCGTTTGGCGACGTTTCCTGATAGCAACGGACCGCCGGTACAACAAGCAGTGGAAACCCACCGGATGCGGTAGCGGCACAACGGCGGTGGCATTGGCAACGGCGGTCAGAGAATGTTGATTGCTATGGGATGCTGGCGAACGGTGGGATACGTCCATCCTGCGCTAGGGTGGAGTCGTAGTCAAGACCATGAAATGTTTGAATAGCAGAGACGGGGAATTGGCAGTGGCGACACCTGTGAACAGTGGATTGGTGGTGCCGAGAAAGAGCGAGAACTCACGTATCGCGCAGAGACGGCCTAACCAACGACTGTCACACGATGTGTTTCTACACAAAACTCATTAACCCAACGTTGTCCCATCTTCGTTGCTGTTTCCCACTCAAACTTGCATTCATGGTCTCCCAATTCATGTACTGCCTACAAGGCACGACAACAATAAACAGAAACATATCCAACCAGGCTGCTGCGACTGCTTAGCCATTCATGTTCTCACACTGACCTCCGTGACGTCCAAACGTGAGTAGGGGCAGCCGTACTCTAGGCGACCCTGTCCATGACTCTTTGTGTGGTCCAGGGGCTCATGGTTCCACTTTGCTTCAAGTGGATCCCATTGCTCTTGTTCTTGCTCTTGATCCTCGGTTGTTTCCGCTGTTTGCACTCTTATCTCGATGTTTTTCACCTCGATGTAGACGCCAAACTGTGTAGCAGGTGATGGTTCCGTGAAAAAGTAGCTTAGGTTATTTAGGGTAGTTCAATTCTCGTGTGTTGATGAAGCGTAGGTCTACGTCGAATTAACGAAGCAGGGTATGAAGCGGGAAGACGCGCTCACCATCTGAGATTTTGATTGGGCAGGATAACCGATGACCTCTCAGGACGCCTCATGCTCGCAAGATGCATCGTCTTCTATTTTTTCGGTGCGATTGCCGCACGAAGTTTAGTCATGAGCGATGAATCGGTACGTTCTCACCTGGTCCGTGAAGAGAACGTTAACGAGGCTGACGATGCCCTGCACCTCGCTTTCGGCAAGGTCGATTGCTTCCTCGAGGGTTAGCTCGGGGTCTCCCCCGTAGCTGTTTCCCGATTGATCGACGCCGAATCCGGTAGAGGCCTTCAAGCAGAATAATCCCAACCCCCGACAGACAAGAGGGGAAGAGTGAACATGGCTGAAAGAGCTCGTGTCAATTCCTTGAGACGACCATCAGACTTTCGGCTCCGCCTTCCAGATGGATCCAATCCTAATTCTTTGAGTTTGCTATCGCCCCTGCTTTCCGAGAAAATGGGCTACGTCTCTCTCTATCTCAACGACCGGAGTCGCATCTGAACCCAGAGGAAATTCATACAGTTCTCGAAATTTGGCGCGGCTAGGCGACTTACTACAAATGTTTCCGATCAATAAACCGGCTTACTCACCTTGAAGTAGCCCGTGTCCATAGCTATTCCGACCTGAAAAACTGTAGGTGAAGACGGGCACTCCGGATATTGTCCCAACGGATCCGTGTCCCAACTCTCAGGTCCCCTCGCCCAATTCTCGACGACAAAAGGCAATCGAGATGGCTTCGGTTCCGACAAAGAACGGCGTGGATATTCGTTTTTGGCAAGGTGATGCTGTTCACGCTTGGAGTTAAGTTGTGGCTCCATTTTTTTCTTGGTCTCCCCGTCCTCCTGCTGTTCGGCTTTCTGTGACCACGACACATCGCTATCAGTGTAGCGGTTGTCACCCTCTCCGACATTCATCACTTTCGCCGTCAATGAGTCTGTCCCGCCAAATCTTCCCAATGGTGCCTGCTGTTGGCGCTGGTGCTGCTGGCGTGAGTGGACCGACTTGAGGTCAGAGTGTCGGTACGCAACGTGTACGAGGTGCTTGGTGGTAGACTCGTCGGCCTCAGCAGAGCGTTGGTGACGGTGACTGCCTCTACTATCCACGTCGGTAAATCCATGTTGCGGAGGAGAGGCCCCATCTTTGTCTGTGGATGGATCCCAAAAATCTGCTGCTGCCTCGGGCATCCCACCACTTGAACGTGTGGCGTGCAACCGTCTGAACCGTGATGGATTTCCCCGTGGGGGATCATTTTCCACCGCTGAAGTTGTAATAGCCTTACTGGCGACAGTGACGTCCGGGTCGCGGCGAAAAGCAGGTTCCAGGGAATAGATCTCGCCCTGAAGCGTTAAAGACAGGCGGCTTTAGGACTTGAACGTGATTGGACGGTGCCATGCGGCTGGTACAGTAGTGCGTGATTTTGTTTTCTGGGTGAACTACACTTGAACGACCGGGACCAAGTGAGGACTTGAGACTGCACACATGCTGCTTTGATCAATTTCTTTAGTACAGCGCTTGCAGAACAATTGATAGGCTTTCGTTTGAGTTTCAGAGAGACGGCAGTTCGTAGCACCGTGTTGCCGTACAGAATACGTTTGCCTTCTCTGGGGATTGCTCAGGCCGGTTTAGATCCGAGCCCCGGGCTACGCGTGCAACTCAACTTGTGCGTGAAATAGCTGCCTTCATTTCTAGCCCTTCACGTTTGAACTGTGCTATGATTGTACATTCGCTACCGCCCACCTGAATTTGTTCGCCAAGTAATAATTACACTACGCATGAAACATGAAATATTTACACTTCGTACTGTGCATGACTCTGGCATGCTGCTCACATTGTGAAGAAAGTGCATCGTGATGGATTTCAAGGATCGCACAACTGCCCGAATCCATCCTCCATGCGGCAGATGGCCTTCGTAGGTTGATAGCTTTGGAGAACGGTCGGCAAACACTGCACCCCCAGCACCCACTACCCGAATCCGACCGCCAGAGCTCATGGTACCAGGTAGAGGGGACAGAGAGAGGTCAAACCTCTCCCCGAACGCCGTGAAACGAACCTGCAAGAATTACAATCAAAGGACAACAACGTGTTGCAGTAGCGTCTGCCTCGGTGAAGGTACACAGTGTGCAGGCCCCTTGCGGATCGGTACAATCAGCACAGGTACTAAAGACGATAGCCCGCACAGGCGACGGTAATCGTCGCACACACACCGACGATAGCTCCGTGTCGTCATTGGATTAGACTATGGGAGTGGTCCTTCACGAAGCAACAGCAGTGTCGGCGATTCGCACACAGTCAGTAGAACGTCCTCGCTCTCTTTCTTTCAAAGGCCGAAAGTTAGAGCCACGTGCACGCATTGGCTATGACACGCCTGCTTCCTTGTCACTTACCCGTACTTCACGCCCATGTGGTAAGCCAGCATCCGTACCGGCGGCGAGCACATCATCTTGAGTGAACACCTCAAGATCCTCGACAATCTCTTCTCCAACAGCCGATTCAGCACCAGATTGGCTGGTGCAAGAAGACACGGGCAGCCCTGACACAAGAACCAACAGTAAGAGTACCAGGCTAGACAGATAGTGGCGCCGTGGGCGAGCTGCCAAGGCTAGGCGACGACGACGATGCTGCATCTCCATGGCAACCATGCAGCACCGGGGAGCAACGCCGCAAGAGCTTGTGCGCCACGGTCGCGTGTTTTGACTAATGCACGCCTGTGGGTCTGTCCTAAATTCAGCGCACTTAGACGTAATACACAAACGACCGGTAGGAGGTCTCGCACTCTCTACTGCGCACGTTGCTTGTCTTTGTCGCACAAGAGTGCACGCGAGTTTTCAGTTTCAGAGTTCCGAGTTCCGAGCAGGGTGTCTACTCGGTCGTGTGAATATGGTTCCGCCGCATTCGTGATTTCGCCGCATTTTTCGTTGAGGGAATCAGGACGATTGAACTCTCCTCTGCTCTTCCCCAGGTAGCCTAGCGTTCGTGCCCTACGGCACAGTCGAGGTTTGCGGTGGCACCATCTCATCGTCTTGCCCTCTCCGTTGCCTCCCTGCAGCGTAACAGCGGAGATTCTACGTCGGTTGGGGTGCGGCGGAATTAGGCGGAGCCCCCAGGTCAACAGGGCCACACTGTTGTCAGTATCGATCAAAGAGCACCGGGCGCGCTGACTCGGCCAGTGTTGCACCGCCCCCAAATCGCATCCATTTCTACATCTGATACGTTTAACGCGAAGTAAATACTCGCACCGCGCGGGCTTCGGAGAAGAAATGTCAAAGAAGGCAGGAAAAAAAGCGAAGGTCAAGGTGCCAGAGATCGACCCAAATTCACCAGAATGGATAGAGGAGGTTGCTCGGAAGCAAAGCGAAGCATACGACATGGTGCAGCGAGCCATGACCCGGAGCCAGGTGTACTTTTGTAGGAACCCGTTCCCCTGTTGTGTGGTAATGTTTGAGCTGTGTACGGGACCGTAGTAACCGGAAGTCTTGACCAGCTTATTCTCTCGCGTACATTCTCACATGTATGCAGAGGTCAGCATGTGCAGGGCTCTCCATGGTGGAGCGCGAACCTTACGTCTACCCAAACGTTTTCGCTTCAAGAGCATACGTACGCTTTTTGGCGAAGTAGTCGAATACCTGAGTTTGCACACACGTATAAACTTCCTCGCTATCGTGAAATGCGTGCTACCATCCGTAAGCTTGGAACCGCCCGAATGGTGAACGCACCCAATGCATGCCTCTTGAGCATGTCAGTATCATATAATCTTCGCCTGCAGTTGAAACATTTTTCGCGAAACAAGGTGCCGCATCGATGCAGGTCAGACGCAGGTCGATCTCCTTAAAACTATCGACAACAGGCTCGATCGTGCCAAGCGCACGCGACGCGTTGCACGCCAACAAAGGCGGTACAGCTGTAACCAGCACCGAGTGTGTGGCTCGATGAAAAACAGGGCGTCCTTGTAACAGATGGTCAAATGGTTTCATACCCTTTCACGTTTCTGTTGTTGCAGATCGAAGTGGTGCTAGCCACCAGAGACAACTTGGTGATCCAAAGGGCGGAACTTGAAACCAAGACCAAGCAGCAGTCGCAGGACCAGAGCGACATCTATCAATACCTTCGAAACAAACTTAAAGACAATTATGTCGCAATCGCCGAGCTCGAAACTCAGGTACGAGATGGGGGGCAACAGGTCACCGGAGCAGAAACTATCGCAAGGTCCAGCGAGGAATATCCCTACCTGCATCTGTACAAAGGGGAGTAGCGAAAGACAGCCCAACACATTGTAGCATGCTGAGTGTATCGAACCAAAGTTGCACAGCCCTGATGGAGCTTCCACCCGGGCCGAGGAAACTTGTTCTGAGCAAGAACGCAACGTATTGGCCTCCCTAGCTTTACAATCCATAGTATGCCTCTCTCTCGGCTCAAATTCCAGTGCTGTTTAATTCTCCTAGTCCACGGTGTCTAGCGTGCCTTCCCCTGTACGTGAAGTTTCGACGAATATTCCGGGACCCAAAAACTTGGGCAGCAAAAGCGCCTTTGGGGATTCGTGGGCTTTCGTATTGTAACTAACGGTTTTCACTGTTTGCGTCTGAACAAACATTCTTTCTTTATCCCCACCAGCTCGATTTGGATTTTAGTTAACCACTGTACCGCTTGGTACTGGTCGCCGTATTGCGCCGCCATTTGTTTCAGGGGGGAGCGGGGGGCAGGATGATGGAAACCCTACAGTTCCAACGCCAGAGGCACAAGATAATAGAGCTTGAGGGGGTTGTCCTCTAACTACAACTTTTCTGTTCTCGAAACATCTTTGGCCATAGACCTCCAACAGATGGTGCACAACGAACCGAATTCGGAGCTGTGCATAAAGCAAGCGGTGCGTACTGCTGTGTAGCTGGTGTCGTTTTGGGGTGGTTTGATCGTAGCCTGACGGCCCCAAACGACGGCGACTCAGACGCACCACGAAACACAGTTTCATGAATGGGGTAGCTGTTCGACCCTTGATTTAGTAGCACAAATGCTCCCAAAGACATCAGAAACGTTTCCATGCCTAACCACACACACAAATGCGTTCGATAATATATCAAAGTGAAAGCCTCGCCAACGTTCTTTGGCGGTGCTTCGTTCCGGAAAACAGAACACATCAGTGCGCATGCAGTCTCTGTGGACAGAATTCTTTCCTGGTCAATGGAACGTGTGTAGAGAAACCTAACCCGGGCGGTAAGAGGTTTACAGCGTGCATACGAGAACCACACTCGATGAAATCGTTTGACGTTCACAACTGGCACGTGGTTCGTACTTCTTCCGATGTCCTTCCAAAAACGACTCGTACAAAGGTGTCGCATGCTCACGAGGACAGGCTAGTGCGGGAAAAACAGCTTCTTTCTACGATCAAGGACCTGAACGAAGAGCGCGAGAGCGAAAAGGTGTAGTCTTCTGCTGGGTTTGGGTTTGAGTATCTTTCTGCCCCGCCAACAGACCAAAGGGAACACGTTCAGTCGCGCCGTGGGCGGAAGCGAGCGACACCAACTTGTGCGTACCCGTCAAATACGCGCGCATTTCTATGCAAATCAGCACGGTGAGGAACCTAACGATCTAAGTAGCAAGTAGGCACCTCGACTGTGTCAAGCGCTCGGTATCGAGTGGTTTTTGCACCAATCTTAGCAGGTACTGCCCGGTGCGGGCCCGCCTTTACCCGAAGCCGGCGTCCTTTGGGATTGACGCTGCTGACGCACTGGAAATAATGTTCGTATCCTGTCAAGCGCATCAGGCATGGAAGCGTTGGCCGCGGCAATGGCAACTCGAAATCCCACTTCTTCACTCCACTACCAGTGTCCGGACATTTTGTCCATGAGAGCCTCGTATTTCCACCGTTGTTCCCTTCGTCAAACTTTCCCAGCGGCTACACAACCACAGTGAACCCCCATGACCACCTCGTGCCCTATCATTCACTAATCCCTGGCAGATACGGCTGGAGGAGAAACTGGCGACCCTCGACGTCGAGCTCACGGCTATCAAAGAATATCAAGAAAACTCACAAATCTACGAGCAGACGGTACGAGGCTACCGTAAAGGCGTTGTCGCTCTGGTGGTTGTATTTTTGGATCGGTCGCGCGGCCTGCAATGTAACACCCTGTGGCTTTGGGTGGCAGCGCCTGCATGGAGGCACCGCTATCGCGGACTTTATTTGTTGAAACACCCGTAACGGGCTTTGGTTTTGGTGTAAGTTTGGCGGTACTCTATTTTTTCTGATAAGTTCCCTCCACTTGGTTCCGGACAGCGTATGTTAATCATCTCATCAACATGTGTACATGTTCGAGCTTGCAAGATGGATACTTAAAATCCTTGTCCCACGCCCAAACGTCAGCGAGCGTTTTCCTCTTCCATACTTGCTGAGAGTATGGGTTGTAACACGTCTGTCGTCTGCTGCAGGCATGCTTTTCTCACCATGCTCAGTGCGGCGAGAGGGTTCGTACCTCTAGCCATTCCTGTGGTTTCCCAGTCATAAAAGGCACCGTGATGGACTGCAACACCTCGTGTAGCGCTTATCTTAATCGTTCTGATGAGCAAAATTGGTAGCAGTAATTCCTAACTACGTTTTATGGTGTACGTCTCGCCGCGTAGTCAAGTCTGCTGCTTTTGTTTACATCGTCAATCAACGCTGTGTTCGTGCTGCGGCTTGCTAACGCAGTTGAAAGACATGGAGGCAAAAATCGCTGGCTGCAAGGACGCCTTCAATGAAGAGGTGGCCTTGCTAACCTCCCAGCTGGAGGAGGAGCGGGAAACTGGCCGCCGAGACAAAGAGGAGCGGCGGAAGATCACGAAAAAGGCGAGTGGGTTCGAGAGTCGGACCATATGTTCGTGCTAACGGTCAGGTATGCTCAAACAAACGGGTTCAGGAAGACGAATGAAGGCCACCTTTGGGTAGAAAACCAGCGGGAAGGTAACGTCCGAGTCGCTAAAACCCTTGGCCCTCCCCTCCCCCCGCCCTTTCGGTTGGGTCGTCCGAAGGCTGCGGCGAAGGCTACCCAAGAGCAGCTGAGCCCCCGGACAAAACACAGAATCGCCCAGAACAAGCAGGTAAGGCGTATGAGCGTTGGTGGTCACGGTGATGTTATTGCATACCCTTCGCCCTAGAGAATGTCCCGCGTCGTAACGACTGGTCCAGCGCAACGAGTTATGCGTGATGCCCGTAAAGCCGTGTTCGTTTGGTTTTCAAGCGCGTGCGGTGTGAGCACAGTCTTCAGCCATGGCTTGCGAGCCTCACCGTACCCTACGTAGAATATGTTGACTTCATTCTCGAACGCAGACTCTCACGCACAGCACATATGCTCCAACCTCTCCGGTTCTGCGTTTTGTCCTTGAACCTTGCTTTCCAAAAGATGATGTCGGAGCTCCGTTTCCAGTGCTTTGAGGTGGAGAAAATGTACCGCGCTCGGCAAGGCCTGATGGAGTCGAACACTCTTCTACTGGCGAAATCGGCGTCAGCGCGGCACCGCGTGGAGGAATTGGCCCGCCGCAGCCACTTGTTGCAAAGGATTATTCGCTATATGCACCAGAAGGTACCTTCGCCTCGCTCATTGAATGTCTGCCATGGGCTCTGGAAGCATGACCCCATATCGGCCAGAAATAGAAGCTAGGAAGTAAGAGGGCCAACCAAGGCACGGTAGCTTGCAGGGACGTGCTAAACACTAATAAAGAGCTGTTCGTGTATCAGGGAAACAGGGAGACACGAACATTGCTCAGGCATCGAGTATCGGTGGCCACTATTGCGGCAACTTGAACGCCAAGAATTTCACATTTCAAGGCCCCTCGTCATTCCACTGAACGCGTAATCCCATACGCCGGGCACTAGATCGTCGTTCGCCCTCGCTTCCCTCCGCGCTGTCATCCTTTCAGCTCCAAAAGCGAGGCGCATGCCTGGATGACGGAAGTATCGGACGTAACAGTGAACATAAAGACGTTGATGGCTGCGAGCGGCCAGGGGCATCGCCTGAGACAGGTGTGCATGCAGCCGGCGGTGGAAGAAGAGGTGGGAGTCGAGGTCGGCACCGTGGAACCGTGTACAGGCTGGCGGGCATGTCTGAGGAGGAACGGCAACAGATGTTGGACCTTCGCGAAGAGGTGTGTGTACGTTCATGGTGTTGAAAAGAGGTTTACATGAACTCACGCAATTGTCACCACGCTCGAATAGCCGAGAGGATATCGACACGCATGGAATCTCACCGTGTCCGTCCTATTCCATGCTGACCCTCACTTGCAGTGGTCAATGCAGCATGGCGCAGTATCACCACTTGAACATTCCAGGAACAACGGGTAGGCACATCAATTGATTCAGATGTATATTCCTGACGATCCGTGGGTAGCTTGACCACGTTGTTGTCGTCGAACCCTTGCTGACCTCTATCTATCTAGTACCTCCCTTGTCCTGGGATTCCACGACGAAGGACCATGGTCACAAGCTATTCCAAACCATGGCGCAAATGCTGTGGAAGTATCCGCATAGAGAATATGCCTCCGCGTCTCGACCAAGGCTTGCTGGGTGGAAACGGTGCCGGGTAGACGATTGCCCGGCTACACCATTTATTCCTGCCCCAACGCCACGTGCTGGCGAGAAACCCCGCAACCGTTACAGCTCCGACGGGAGGAGGTCGCTATTGCGGCTGCGCAGACGCTGGTGGGGGAAATGAGCGAAAACATACGCAGGGGTGACGAACAGAGGTCCCGAACATTGACTTTGAAGAGAGATCTCGCAAGGTAGGCCTCGGTGGTGTCGGTCCGTGCTATTTCTCATCGCTGTTGTGTTGTCAGAGTTGCAAGTTTTTTCTGCGTATGATCCTGCCGCGGGGTGCAGTACACTACGGTTCACTGCCGAATGCCATACGAAGGCGTGCCAACGCATTCTTTGCTTTCAAAAGTGACCCCTTCCCCCTCCCTTCACGCTGGCTGAATCTTCGTATGCGCGCGCGTTCTTCCCCCAAAAGAGTGCTTGCATTGTGTCACGAAGACCCTTTGGTAGGAGCCAACGGGGAAAGAGGACTGCAGACAGAAAGCGGCGGAAAACGCTTCGACCGGACCGGCCGTCTTGACCCCCAGCCAACACCAGTCCCAATAACATCAGCATCGCTATCCCCTCAAGACGCCAGTGGCTCAGAGTTGTTGCCTCCGACTCTATTGCACAACTCGGATCTGTCAATGGGTTCAGCCAATGATGGCAGCGGTCTAGCTGATAATCACGGCGCAGAAGTGGGTGAGGGTTCTGTTAGTACTTTGCTCCTGCCAGCGATCGGCCCCACCAGGTTATCGCGGCAACCCCAAGATTGGGAACTGGAGAACAACGAACACGATCAACAGCGGGTACCCCAGCGGCAGCTACAACAGCATCAACTCCAACTGAATCAACACGAACACATGGCGCTGGAGGTACCCTCCCGCGGGGCAGATGGAACAGATGGAAATGATGCCATCGAGCCAAGTCGAGGAAACGGTAGGGAAGGTATTAGGGAGAAACTCGCGTTGTGGCCGGAGTTTACGATTGTGCCCCATATTGCAGGAGTCGGCAGGCCACCCCGTGAGGGCGGCGATATCGCATGCAGCGAAGAACGACCATGGGAAGGGACCAACAGCTGTATTGATGCTGAGGTGTTGAAAGCGGTGGCGAGACTTCTTCTGTCCAAGCTGCAGATCTCCGTGGAGGTAAGTTGTCAGAGAAGTAGATCAATTTTCTCGCTTTAAAGCGTGGCTGCTTCTCTTTTGTGTTTCTAAGTAATATACTGGGACACCAACAATAAATGGTTGCCACCGTGACTCCGCTCTCAGTCAGCTGAACCAAGGTATTCACGATGCCCGCGACCGGTAGCTTCGCAGGTTTTGCCTTCTTCAGGGCTGCTGTAGATCAGCTGAGTGGTTCCTGTCGTCGGAACTCGTGCCATTTTGGCAGCATTCCTCTACCCCTCTCAAGAAGTATTGTGTACATACATCCTATCCATTTCTTTTGTCAGGCAATCACACCAAGGCTAGCATTCCCCCGCACCCACGCCATGGATTTCCCGTCTTTGACGAAACGGGCGACCTTGGGAAGCGGCGGTGCCGGGGCCGAAAGCGGCGTTGACATGGGAAACCGGCAGCTAAGAAACCCCAGAACGGGGCCCAGAAGGAGCAGGGAAAGCACCAGAACGGCTAGACCATACGAGGCCGGCAACGGTAACTCCGCTTGTAACAGCCGTGAACAGCGTCGTCGCGGTGGGCGCGGCGGCACTCTGTCTGATGATCAGTACGAGGAAGGCATGTCCAGGGAGGGCGGGCGCGATCGCGACGTTGACAGGAGCAGGTCGAGAGTGCCGGACGATGCTACTAGTATCTGGTCGGGGTGGCATAGCACGGGGATTCCATCGTGGGACATTCTTGTGAGTGAGATTCTGGGTGAGGCGTCACCATTTTCGATGGAGTTTCGGGTCGGCACCATTTAGACCTCATCATTTTTTCCGACAGAGAAAAAAATGTGTAGTTGTCACTATCTCACCGTCATTCTGAAGGACCCAATTGGTGAACGGAACACCTTTGCGAATTATCATCCGGACAATCCACAGGAACCAGCCGTGCGACAAACGAAGCGGCGGAGAACACGAGATGCCGCCTGCCAGACGCTTACCTACCGTGAGCTCCGGGATCACGCGAAAACAACGGGTTCGATGCACAACGCCAGTGCCACGGGCGGGAAAAACTGCGACAACCACCTAAGCCCTCCCCCGAGAGCGGTACACCAGGTGCACCAACGACAGTGGCAGCAACAAGCCCGCCATCACGTAGTCCCGGCGTCGAGATATATCTCGATGCTAAACCCACCGAGATCTCCCGTCCCTTCGACCAATGCAAACACGACGCTGTCCGTGTCGTCGGTGTATCGGACCACGGACGGGGGTGGGATCGTCCACGGCGCTATTGTCCGAGGTGGCGCCCGTGGCACCGACGCGCAGGGAATGAGATCGTGGCCTGCGCAGCATCAACAACGCTTGGCCGGGCGTGTTCGAGGTGCCGGCGGCGACAAGTTACGCCACCAACGCGATGAAGCGCAAAACCCGTCGTCTAGTAAAAGTGGCGTTGAACGAGGCGGGTCGCTTGCCCGACTGACAGACGGTCAAGGCACGCTGGTCTGTTCCCCGCCATCGTCTTTCTTGCAGCAGCGCAGCCTTCACTCCTCACCACGCCGAAGGAAGGAAACAGAGCTGGATACGCCATCAGCGCCTTCTGCGCGCTTACCGGAGACGCCAGGGACGCAGCGCGCCTCACCCCCGCTCGGCCAGGTTTCAGTTTCGTGGAACCAGGAACAAGATCAAGGGGTTGAAGGGGGGGAGGAAGGAACTGCGCCGTGCACAGCAGTGCCTGAGCCAGAAATGGGGGTGCCGAAAAGTTCGTGTAGCAAGAGAAGGCCGGAATCACTCCCCAGAAACGGCGGCGAATGGAGCACGAGGAACCACACCGTGGTCGGCGGAAAGGGATCTGGAAATCGAAGTCATGCTCGTGGTGGTGGTTTCGTCCACGAATCGCTTTCAAAGGGACCGGATTATCGCAAGGTAAAATGTCGTTTGTTCGGTGTTTTCTCGAGTACGACAACTCTCACGAGGGACATTGACACACATCCATCAGCCTGTAGGCCAACAAGACTCAGAACAAGACAACATCATGACTGTCAACCCCTCCCTATGTATAACATGCCTCCAATAGTCCGACACGTTCGTACTTCCCGCGATTTACCCTCGTTCCCACATACGACGTATCTGTGGTGTCATTCCGTAGTCTTCACCGTTGTGTTTCATTTCTATTGCTTCAGCGGCCGACCAACCAAGAAAAGATGGCCAACGATATGTCACCCTCTCTCTGTGCGGTTGGGCATCTATCTCTACCGACGCAGGTCTTGCTCTTCACTGTGAACGACGCCGATTGCCGTATTTTGAGGCGTCCTCTCGCAACCGGCGGCCTGACCAGCACCAGCGAGACCACAACAACAGCGCAGTCTGAGGTTGCGGAACTCAACAAAACCGACCAACAAGACGGACGCCGATTAAACGTTGACAAGCCAGCGAACGGCAAGCGCGGTAGCAGGCGGCGGTCTGCCTCGCGGCCACGTGGTCCCGGTGACGCTGCTGGAACAAATTTTGTGAGAAACTGCGGACCCTCGGTCGCGATGGGAGCAATCAAAGGTCAACCAGTCGCAGCAACAGCAGCCAGGCCATCTTCAAACTCTGCTGTCGGAGAAGACCTGTTCGTTGGGAACAGTGGCAGGATGCATTGTGGCCCCAATGGCAGGGTCAGTGGGATAGGATCGGCTGGACTGGAACCGGTAGTTGGCAGCAACAGTGTCGTGTGGGATTCGAAAGGTGGCGTTGGAGAGCTGGACGGCGGGCCCACGATGTGCAGCAGTGTGTCAACTCTCAGCGGCGAAGCGTTTAGTCCGTTTTGCCCTAGGGAATGACTATTCTAAGCGTTGACCGATACAGCAACCTTCTTCCTGCTTGAGATATCAATTTTGTGAGAAGACAGCCACACTGCTGTAGTTCCCAAGCTCTGCAGTAGTAGCTTGAGTCTCTCTCTGCCGAAAGTCTTTCCTTCTAGCGGGGGCGAGTTGGTTTCACGGAAGGAATAACTTTTCTGCTGGAAGTTGTATGCATTTTGGTTCATTCTGTGCGTGCGGAGGTCGTGCCATCGTCTGCGTACAGCAACCTGCATCTCTACAGGAGCATCAGGGGAGGAGGAGTTGATTCTCTTTCCTCGCGTAACAGTGTGTGCGTCGTTTCCCCTGGACAGCGTCGTAACTACGCTTGTTGCTTCGTCAGTGCGGCCTACAGTCTAGTAATGTTGTTGTTCATGAATGCTGCCTTCCGCCGATTCCTCCGCATGTTGTTGTGGTTGTTCTATGGGCTCTCGTTCGGGCTGGTATTTATGCTATCTTGTATGGGTGTAGGGCTGCTGTGCTGATGTAAGTTAGCTGGCTTGCTGTTGGGTCTTTACTCGCTCCAGCACATGTGCGACGCTTTGCATTGGTTGTGTGCTGCAAGGTGGACAAAACACTGTGCTCAGGCTCGGCTTGTTTCGGTCTGTCGCACGGTCTGGTAGACATGTCAAATGTACCTGGGGGTGCTCAACAAACAAGTGTTCTTTATCACCGGGAGAGTCGGGTGGAAGTGCCATGAAAAGGTGTTATACGTAGCGGCACTTTGGCGAATTGATTGACACCGATTATGAGAAGTTGGTCGAACGGGAACACTTTTCTTGTCAACGGGCACATGTTTCGTCGAACGGGAACAAACAATTTCGCCGCGTTTTTTCTGCACGCGCGTGTAGAGTATGGTCTTCACGTCCACAGTCCACACGCAGCTCCTACTTGATGCAGAACACTGCTTATATCACGCAGGGGCGTCATCCCGCCCTAAATGCGTAAGGATGGCACAGAGCATCGGGACGGCGGTATCACTCCCTAGCGAGCTTCAACAGCAACAGCAGCAGCAACAGCAACATGGGCGTTCTATGCGACACAGGAAGTTGTACAACAACATTATTCGTGGCTTTGAGCATCTGCTGCTACGAGGCAGTGGATGCTTGGAGCAACAGGGGCACACAGATATCCATGGTCGCGGTGCAGGATACGTGGTATGGATGCCACGCAGAGAGCAGTACCAGGAGCACCGGGAGGTGTGGGATGGAGCTGGGGAAGAAGGGATGGAGGGAGAAGGGGGCAACCCGCTTGTTCTGTATGGTGGTGGTTATGACGGTCTGTTCAAGGTAAATGTGTGGATGAACAAAAACCACCATGCTGTGAACACAACCGGCCGCCCGTCGGTAAAATGTTTGGTTGCCTCTAATGCATGTGCACACGCCAGTTGCGTCGAATCGGCCTGCTTGGTTGACTTTCCACAGCATCCCACGTAACCATTCGATTCTGTTCCAAACGTTGATATCGTGGGGCTGCTGCACACTCACAGTAGTAGACTTGTAATTATATTAAACGATGTATGCAAACTATGCACGTACTTTCATGTCAGCGCATATGTTCAGGCTCTCCTCATCTCCACTCTCCGAAGAACACCAAGAAGCGTGTAAATGTGATGACTGACTTGATTCAGTGGTGCGGGTGTGTGGACGTCCAGAACGCTGACCTCGTATTACATTGCCTGAGGCTGGTTTCTTGTTGCCTACGTGGGGTATCCAACGCCGAATTGTCTGCAGGGTTCAGTCTTGAGTCCTGGACCAGCAGCTATTTAAATAGTCAAGGGTTTCACTTTTTTTCGTTTTTTAACGCTGGAATCCTTTATTCCCAAACGATGGCGCGTTCGGCAGATGTACGCTTCATTCGTCAAACCTCCAGACCTCACCTTGTTGGGCGCCTGACTATGAAAACGTACTCCTGAAGTGGTAGCAAAAAGATCGATACTCACGAGGTGTCTGCCGTCAGTCTAAACGGCACCGATGTAGGATCTTCACAATGCATCGTGGACCGAATGAACAAGCAGACGAATGAGACACAATCGTAGGATAGAGTCGGCTGGACATATGCATAGAATTGCGAGAGGTATTGGAGTGCTTGCCAAGCAACTCGAGCTATGCACCCGCTTGCCCACATCGTTTCTCTCCCATTGCTCCCGACCTAACTCAAAGGGCGGCTTGGAGAAAGCGCTTGGCTCCTGCGACTGCCTTTCACCACCGCTTCGGTGGATTAGAATCCCGCTGGAAATATTGCCGCCCCCCGTAGCCAGAAGCTCAACCGCTGCCACCCCTAGGATCATCAACCGCCCAACCACCACATCAATACCGCGCCCTGCCCTGGGAAAGGCGGAACACCACACCACCCGGTCTTCTGCTAGCAATCTGATTAGATCACCGGGTGCTTCGGCTGGCCGCCAGGAGGAAGAAAAACAAGAGGATGTGTCTCGCGGGGTAACGGCTATGCCAGAGGGTAGCAGGGAAGTGAACAATGCAATCCCGAACAGGGGAAAACGCGGACGCGAAGCGGAACAGCCAGATGCAAATACTTCAGGAAAATGTAAACAGCCACAAAAGCGTGGGGGGGGGGTCGGCACGGCAGGAACGGCGAGGTTCGAACAACGGTGCGAAGAAGAAGGAGGTCGCGTTGGAACCGGGAAGCGGTGTGCGAGAGAGGCTGCAAGCGAAAGAGAGCTGCGGGCGGTGAAGAACGCGCGGCTGCAACGTCAGCGCGAGATGCTAGATCTGTGGTGGCTGACAGGTGGGACATTCCGCGTTTTCAAAGTTTCAATGCGCCAATGCACGCGTCAGAATGCCGAAAACTTCAACGTTCGGTGGACAAAGCTGCAGGTTCCAACCCGGGCATGGTACGGGAAGTGGTAGAAATACATTCTTGGCTCCATTGGGGGCATCAAAAGGACGACTAATGGTCACGCCTAGCGATAATCACGCCAATCATGCAACGCAGGACAAGAGTTAATGGCCCCATAGG